GAGGAAGTGAAACCAGAGCAAAGAAGTCAGTCATGAAAAACATGCGATTTGTGGCATGTAGTTCATGTCTATCAGCTCTGAGATCTTCTATATTCTAATAAAGACCTTTGACACATAATACTCTATCATATCTACACACATAATCATATCTACACACAATCTTCTGAGAAAAAGGGCCAATGCCCTACACTGATGCTTGTTCAATCAGATGCTCTGAAGAGTGAGAAAGGCCCTCCCCTAAACCACCTCACTCTGACTAACAAGTAAGAAATCAGCCAATCATATTCAAGACGTGACGTAATGAAGAACTACTGGATATTCATAAAATGGACAAGCCCAATGATATCTAATCTTCACGTTTCCTCAACATCGCACAGAAAACTGCTCATAATCACTCATTATCAGGTCTTTGATCAAATTATGCCAGGAATCATGTGTTACATGAGCTTCATCTACAGTAATCAGTTCTCATTAAAGCACTGATGTGTTTGTCTTACCGTGTTGAAGCTCATCAGATCAACAGCAGACACATATCTGTTTAACACAATGGTTAACACTCTTTTAAATTGTACATAGTTGCAGAAATATCAGAGTCCCTCCCTTAACAAGAGAACAAAATAACTTGAGCTTGACTAAAACTAACTAAAGAAAGTTATGATCTTTTTCTATAAGTTAATTGAAATATATTCACTCAAGATGTTTAGAGACCAGGATTGTGTAGCCAGACGTCACATTTATTATCACGATTAGTGATGTTTTTGCATTCATTAAGGAGAGGCTCCCTTTCCTTTTTGTTTTTTTTACTTAAGTGCAGAACTTGTGCAGAAAGGCATATTTTTATTTCACTTTTCTTTCATTTGCTGAAGCCCAAATGAGTTTTAATGACTTCAGGAAACCAGAGGAGGCTGACAGCATAAACTCCTCTCATTACGAAACGGACCAATCAGAACTGATATTCAAATGACGTGCATTTAAATGTCGTTTAAATGTTTTTAATAAAGATGCATCCTGAAGCAGGGAATATACAAGTAAACACATTAAAATAATAATGAGGTAAGAAGACAAAGCAAACAGAGACTGAAGAAACCAGAGGAGATGCTGAATAGATGCGTTCAGAATTATAATACTAACACATGAAGGACTTTAAACACAGTACAGTATAAACACCATACACATGAAGATGAATAATAGTGATTTACAGCTGATGCACATCCGTGTTGATGTCAGGAGCAGAGATGCTGACCTCTGGTGCTAGTTTGAGGATTTGAACAAACACACGAGAAGAGCTCAAATAAAACTGATCACTTAAAGGGAAAGTTACAGCAACACAACAGACAGAAAACTGAAGCTGATAATATTCAGACCAAAAAAACAATACATTGTCCATTGTGAAGATGCACATTTAAAATATTGCAGGACAAGATATTTTAAAATGTTAAAACAGTGAGCTTACTTCACTTTAACATATCTATTTCCATTTCTATACAATAACACTCATTTAATTTCACTGTTACATCATCTTTCCTAAACTATAAAGAAATACAAGGCTTCATCAACTCTTCAGTAATGACAGCTGCCAATCATGTGTGGCTCCGCCCACAGAGCTCAGGATTGGTTCCTTTGTGCTCCGCCTCTCACTGCAGCATCTTCCTGTTGATCTGAAGAAACAACAAGAAGAACGACTGACTGAAGTTCATCAGCAACATTATAAACCTTCCACACGCTTCATAAAACAATCAAACTAGAACTGAAGAGAGTTGTATTGATTATATGGAGAGGAGCTGCAGTTCAGACACTTACTGATGGATTCTCATGTTTAGGATCAAGAGTCTTCAGGAGGTCTGGGACGAACGGTCTGTGTGGAAGACAGCGAGAGATCGGTCATGTGATCATCTGTGATGATGATCTGACTTTGACGTCTCACTTACTGTGAGTGTGTCGTACAGGTCAGAGGTCGTGGACTTGAGCTCAAGAGCTGTATATGTGTCTTCACTGGGATCAGACATCTACAGCGGCAGAAGGAGATGAGTTCATGTTTAAAATCTGATAGAGTAACTGCACTGACTTTAATATTTAGATGAACTGTTGACTGGATGCAGAGCTATAGAATCAGGTGTCCTGTACTCTTCATATCTCTGTACGGCTCATAGCGGCTGTAGGAAACATCTCTGCATGCAGAAAAACACTGTAAATAACTGTGATCATCTCACCGCAGACGCCTTCATAGCAGATCTTCTGTTCATCCTTTTAGTAAGACTGTAGAAGAAAGATGAATAAACAGCATATTTAAAGAGTTTCATATATATATACTGTATTTATATATATATATATATATATATATATATATATATATATTATATGTTGTGCTCTGTTATATATATATATATATATATTACATGTTCTGATCTGCTGTGATGTTGGAGGGCCTTTACCCTCGATTCAATCAGTGACTGACCAACCATGTGTTTCTACAACATTGTTGTAAGAGCCATATTACTATCTATACTGAGTTTATTTTAAATATGTTGGATTAAGTGTTGTTTCGTCTGGTTGTCTTGTGTGTTTGTGTGTTCGAGTCCTCTATAGGAGGTGGCACCATCGGCATATAATGGTGTTATGTCGGAGTGCCAGCAACTTTGTGGATTTTACTGAAGAGGAAGCACGAGTTAAACACTGGTCAATGGCGTTTCCCATGTGGTAGACAAACAGGAGTCTCTGCCACTACAAATGTTGTTTAGAAATGTTCAAAAATTCATTAATTAACATAACTTTACGAAATCACACACATCCCTTACTGGAATAACTGCAGTTTTTAACTGGTATACATGCATGGTAAACAAGTACAAACCCGATTCCAAAAAAGTTGGGACACTGTACAAATTGTGAATAAAAACAGAATGCAATGATGTGGAAGTTTCAAATTTCAATATTTTATTCAGAATACAACATAGATGACATATCAAATGTTTAAACTAAGAAAATGTATCATTTTAAGGGAAAAATAAGTTGATTTTAAATTTCATCAACACATCTCAAAAAAGTTGGGACAAGGCCATGTTTACCACTGTGTGGCATCCCCTCTTCTTTTTATAACAGTCTGCAAACGTCTGGGGACTGAGGAGACAAGTTGCTCAAGTTTAGGAATAGGAATGTTGTCCCATTCTTGTCTAATACAAGCTTCTAGTTGCTCAACTGTCTTAGGTCTTCTTTATCGCATCTTCCTCTTTATGATGCGCCAAATGTTTTCTATGGGTGAAAGATCTGGACTGCAGGCTGGCCATTTCAGTACCCGGACACTTCTTCTACGCAGCCATGATGTTGTAATTGATGCAGTATGTGGTCTGGCATTGTCATGTTGGAAAATGCAAGGTCTTCCCTGAAAGAGACGACGTCTGGATGGGAGCATATGTTGTTCTAGAACTTGGATATACCTTTCAGCATTGATGGTGCCTTTCCAGATGTGTAAGCTGCCCATGCCACACGCACTCATGCAACCCCATACCATCAGAGATGCAGGCTTCTGAACTGAGCGCTGATAACAACTTGGGTTGTCCTTGTCCTCTTTAGTCCGGATGACATGGCGTCCCAGTTTTCCAAAAAGAACTTCAAATTTTGATTCGTCTGACCACAGAACAGTTTTCCACTTTGCCACAGTCCATTTTAAATGAGCCTTGGCCCAGAGAAAACACCTGCGCTTCTGGATCATGTTTAGATATGGCTTCTTTTTTGACCTATAGAGTTTTAGCCGGCAACGGCGAATGGCACGGTGGATTGTGTTCACCGACAATGTTTTCTGGAAGTATTCCTGAGCCCATGTTGTGATTTCCATTACAGTAGCATTCCTGTATGTGATGCAGTGCCGTCTAAGGGCCCGAAGATCACGGGCATCCAGTATGGTTTTCCGGCCTTGACCCTTACGCACAGAGATTGTTCCAGATTCTCTGAATCTTTGGATGATATTATGCACTGTAGATGATGATAACTTCAAACTCTTCGCAATTTTTCTCTGAGAAACTCCTTTCTGATATTGCTCCACTATTTTTCGCCGCAGCATTGGGGGAATTGGTGATCCTCTGCCCATCTTGACTTCTGAGAGACACTGCCACTCTGAGAGGCTCTTTTTATACCCAATCATGTTGCCAATTGACCTAATAAGTTGCAAATTGGTCCTCCAGCTGTTCCTTATATGTACATTTAACTTTTCCGGCCTCTTATTGCTACCTGTCCCAACTTTTTTGGAATGTGTAGCTCTCATGAAATCCAAAATGAGCCAATATTTGGCATGACATTTCAAAATGTCTCACTTTCAACATTTTATATAATATCTATATTCTATTGTGAATAAAATATAAGTTTATGAGATTTGTAAATTATTCCATTCCTTTTTTACTCACAATTTGTACAGTGTCCCAACTTTTTTGGAATTGGGTTTGTAAAAATAGGAAATAACATGTTTGTTTGGAAACCATTTACAATTTTAAAGATAAAACTGTATTTACATTTTAGAATGAAATCATTTACCTGTTGGGATTGTGTTGAGACTCTGTGTAGGTGGATTGCTGAGCTCCAGAAAATCAGTAATGAGGTGAAATACAGACAAAACACACACCGTATGTTTAACAGGACTAGATACCACAACATATACAAACAAATAAGGAAGAAAGCAGGTGTGTGTGGTTACAATATAGAATATGATTCATAAAACTCACACATGACGTGTACAGTCACAGCATCAGAGTATTTCTCTCCATGTTCATTTCTGGACTTGCACTTGTATTCTTCACTGTGATCAGAGCTGATGTTTGAGATGCTGTAGATTCTTCCAGATCCTACAAACCTTCCTCCTTTAAACCAGCTGAAGTTCAGAGCAGGAGGGTTTGAATCACTGCTGCAGCTCAGAGTCACTGAATATCCCTCCACTATTTCACCAGATGGACTGATGGACACTGAGACGCTCCTGGGTGGGTCTAAAACAGAAAAAAAATACAAGCATAACCAAAGATAATTTGACATCACAGACTTATAAATCCCAAATGTATGAATCACTCCACTATTTCACCAGATGAACCAGATTTAAATATATTTATATGCTTATTTTTTTCGTGTATTTTATCCATTGACAAAACACTGCATTTTTTTTAACAATTTCCTTCTTAACCTTAGAAATTATCTTTTTTTTTCTTATAGAGACTGTTGAAAAGGTCCAGTATTTCACAGTATTTTCTGATTTGATGTTAATCAGGGTGTCTGCAGATATGAACAAGTTCAATTTAAGACTTTTAAAGACCTTCTTGATACCACCTTGTGTGAAATTTAAGACCAAACTTATTATTATATTGCATATGTATATGTAATATTTAATGTGTTTTAATGTAAAAAGAAAACAAAATATCATCGCTGTCAAAAATGCTATTTATTATTACGATATACAGTTAACTTTTAATATCAGCAGACAATATCCCATACAAAATATCCTCAAAAAAGCACGGACTTACTGAGATATTTGGTGGTGTAAACGATTTATTCTGAAGCAATATTTTCAGTGCTCTATCAGCTTTTACATGCTTAAATCTGCATGTTTTTCAAATTTATCCCAGGATGTTATTTACCTTTATAAAGGCCAACATTTTTGAAACCTTATTAAATATATGCGTCATCTTCCATGCCAAATTCTTACAATTTATCTAAAAATTAATTATACACTACAGGGCTGTTACCAATCAAATTAAATATTTTGCACAGCAAAATTACAACTGCAGTAAATAATGTTATGATATTAATGGTTGAAATAACATTTTTAATATACAAATTCGAAATGCTGGGGAAAATGCATACTTTTAAACATGAGACTAAACCGCCAGTAAATCACTTATTCATTCGTCCGCTTCCTTCAAAACTCTGAATCATTCAGTAACAAAACACTGAGTGTTGCTCGGAGAATGTGCAATAGTTCTGTTCGGATCTTTGTTTGGAACTGTTTCCGTTGGTGAAATAGAGCAAAACAGTCAATATTGAGTCTAAAATGTAAGTAACTTCACACACTTAACTGCTTGTTTGTTGAACTAAAATCAATGTAACATTTGCAATCGTGAAAATATTCAGCAAAAATCTTGTCACGGTATGTTACCTAACTACGTCACGAACGAAACATTTTGAATTTTGACCTCAGTATGTTTGTTCTGTGAGTTTCTTTATGTGTGCCGTACTCATTTGATTTGATTTCTTCATGAAAGTCTCTCACAGACACAGACAGCGTGACATTGATACCAGACATACACACTAGCCATCATCAATCGCTGTTTACGCTGAATCTAATAAACTCAGAATAATCATTCTCGCGTTTCGAAGTGTCACTAGTTATTTTTTGTCACTTAATTTTTAATCAGGCTATTTGTCCTGTCGGGCAAGTAAAAATCTCAAGCCATCTTTCAGTAAACTTGCATTAACCCATTTAGCTTTAGGATCCAGCTCAGACAAGAATACACACCAAACATTTAACAGGACTACATATGACAAAACATACTGACAAATAAAGAAGCAAGCAGGTGTATGTGATTAAAATATAGAATATGATTCATAAAACTCACACATGACGTTTAAAGTCACAGCATCAGAGTATTTCTCTCCATGTTCATTTCTGGATCTGCACTTGTATTCTCCACTGTGATCAGAGCTGATGTTTGAGATGCTGTAGATTCTTCCAGATCCTACAAACCTTCCTCCTTTAAACCAGTTGAAGTTCAGAGCAGGAGGGTTTGCATCACTGCTGCAGCTCAGAGTCACTGAATCTCCCTCCACTATTTCTCCAGATGGACTGATGGACACTGAGACGTTTTTTGGAGGATCTAAAAAAATAAAATAAAATACAAAACATTAACAAATGTGGCATCACACACTTAAGACGTATGAATAACAGATTTCTGAATCTCCCTCCACTATTTCAGCAGATGGACTGATGGAGATCACAGGATTCTCTGGAGGATCTTCAGGTGTCAGGTGAAAGTATTTATATTCTGTATTTATATGCATTTTTATTCATTGACAAAACCCTGCATTTTTAAACTATTTCCTTCTCAACCTTAGAAATTATCTTTTTTCCTTTTTCTTTTAGAGACTGTTGAGAATGAAGGCCCAGTATTTCATAGTATTTTCTGATTTGATGTTAATGTGATTTACAGGTAGTTTGACTCGCCCAGAAGAAGTTTTAGTTTCTTACAGTCCTGTCAACGGCTCGCTATAGAGTTGCTTTTATTGTGTGTGTGTTCAAGAAAAGTACGAGTATTTGTTTATATCTTTTGCTTACACACTCAACACATATTTTAACAATTTAACACATTTTCCATCAATTTGGATTGCATAAATTAATAAACTTAATGTGATTCATATGCATCAGTCATACGCAATTGAAACAGGTAATGATTCATGTAATACTTCACAAGTCCCCAGTGTTAAATAAACACTGCTCAGTGTTCATGTGTTTCCACAATACAGAGTATTAAAGTAGCATTGAAGCAGTGTTGTTAATGAAATAATTGTATGACTTATGATTTTAGAGAAAGGACAAGAGCTCCCACAAAACTGACCATTTATCAGAGATATGTAATCATGACAACATTCAAAAGCAACTTTAAAGAGGAAAAGTCAATCAGTACTCACACGAGACACTGAGACGAGCAGCAGGAGAGATGTAACTGTGTCCATGTAGAGCACAGCTGTATCTGCCTGCATCCTCTCTTCTGACTGACTGCAGCAGGAGTTGATTGTTTCCGTCTCTTCTCTCAGTTAATGGCTGTGAGTTTCTGTACCAGATGAATGTTGCTCTGTCAGTCAGAGTGCAGCTGCTTTTACATGTCAGACTGACATTATGACCCTCTGTCACTCTCTCAGGACTCACCGTGAATCATGAGCAGAAAGATCAGAGGAAGACGAGGAACCATTCTGACCCACATCAGCGTCAAATATATCTATAATACAGCATTAATCAGCACTTATACACTCATCAACAGTACATGCACATCACCCTATTCCTAACAATTCTCATGTTAAGACACGTACACTGTAAAAAAAACTGTGACATTTACGGTAAAATACCGGCAGCTGTGGTTGCCAGAACTTCACCGTAAAAAAAAAAAAAAAACGTGGTGGTGATGAGAAAGTCACATGATGAACCAAAGCTCATCACAAAAACAGCTTTTCTACGAGCTGAGAAGGGCAATATATAAAACATATAGAAGGTGCACAGTGTCACTCACACAAACACTAAGCCCCATCATCGTGACACACGATACTGACATAATGCAATAAACATGAATTTAACAACATTAGATGTCAGATTAAACCCTAGTGTACACAACTGATAAGACTAAGAAGCAACATGTTATTTCAACTAAAAAACATCAAATTTGAAGGGTCTTCCGGGGAATTCTGCTAGCGTCAATTTAAGTTTTTTTCACTGTAAATTATGCAATGACTTTTTCTTTTTCTCTTACAAAAAGCGTATTTTTAACAGTATTTTACTGTGAAATCACATTAAATGTAATTACATTTATTCACCGAATATAGTATGGAAACTTACTCTTAACCAGTTAACAGGTTTTTACTGTAGCATTTTACAGTCGTTTACTGTTAAAATCACAATCATTTTTTACAGTGTATGTTATATGAGCAATAATCACCAGAGTGTGTTTGTCTTACCGTGTTGAAGCTCATCAGATCAGCAGCAGCTAAATGACTGACTCTTTTAACACATGCACTTTAGCTTCACTGGCTTTGTGTGGTTAACACTGTTTTTTTTTAAACACAGTTACAGAAATATCAGTGTCCCTCCCTCAACAAGAGGACAACATTACTGGACTCTAAAACTACAGAAAAATAGTGCTTAGTTATCAGAAGCTGATAATATTGAGCACTTTGAGACCATGAAATGATACATTTTCCATTGTGAAGCTGCACAATTATGATTTAGTTCAGAAGTTCAGGGTAAAATGATCAATTATGATTTAATAGCAGGACTACGCTGTAAAATAAGAAAGCGCTTGTATCCTCCACCAAACATCACTTCAGCTGTTTTGCTCTGCTGACTTAATTTTAACATCACGGCCTGGTTTCACAGACAGGGCTTAGACTAAATCAGGATTAGGCCATAGTTCAATTAGGACATTTAAGAGATGTTCATAAACGTGGCTTAGAAAAAACATTACTGGTGTGCATCTTGAGACAAAACAATGGCACTGACGTACTTTAAGATCAGTCTGTGCAAGTTTCTTTCAGTTGAAACAGCTCAGACTTACATTTTAGTCTGAAACTGGGGCAAATGTTTACACAAAGACAATTCATCATCTGATAAATGATCTCAGCGTGAATTATTTCTTCAGTTTAGATGGAGGAAGTGAAACCAGAGCAAAGAAGTCAGTCATGAAAAACATGCTGCACTAAATATAAATAAAAAATAGTTCATGTTGATTTAACATTATAAAAATGTGAGTTCTGTGGCATGTAGTTCATGTCTATCAGCTCTGAGATCTTAATCTATATTCTAATAAAGTCCTTTGACACATAATCCTCTATCATATCTACACACTGTCTTCTGAGAAAAAGGGCCAAACATATTCATGATCTGGTGATACACTGATGCTTGT